CAAGTCTATGGGACTGATTACAGGAACCAGTAGTTTCAGTTATCACCTGGAACCGATCCATGCCCCTCAAGTATTTGTAAGTGTTTGCATGCCTGTTATCTGCAATGCACCCCTACATCTGCTCTATGCCTACGAGTTTTCTTGAGCAGATAGCTGACAGCTGACACTGCTGTTGGTCTGTTTGGGTCACAATTAGCAAGTACTGGGCTTTTCATCAGATCCCTCTTCAGACTATGGAAGACTCTTCCTTGAGGCTGCAACAGCTTTGTCCAAGCATACCAGGTCTTAAGGACATCTTAGAGAGTCTCCCCACTGTTTGTAAGGAGGGCAACACACATAGCTGATCATTCATAGTGCTTGTTTTAGCTCTTTTACACCTACTAGTGTTGGAAGTCCAGATATTTCTTTGACCTTCTCTGTGTATGGTTGCACATCTCTGTCACAGACCACATGTCCAAAGAAGTATAACTGCCGTCAAAGTGACATTTGTCCTTGTTTAAGTTCAGTTTGGCCCCATCCTTTCCAGAACTTGCTCTCGGCACACACCACGAAACTGCATGATGGAGCCATGGAAGATGATGTCATCCATGTAGACGTCCACCCCATCAAGGCCCATCAGTATCTCCTGCACTTTCCTTTGAAATATTTCCTGTGCAATACCAATGCCAAAAGGCAGATGATTAAAACAGTACCTGCCAAATGGGATTATGACTGTTGTCAGCAGGCTGCTCTCTCAGTGCAGAGGGATCTGCCAGAACTCACTGGATAGAGGAGAAGATTTTAGCCTCTGCTAATTATGCCAAAACTTCCTTTCTGACGAGGAGCTTGTAAAGTTTCTTTTTGACCTTCTTGTTCACTTTTTTTCCATATCCATACTGGTGTGCACCTTGAACTCGAAATTTACCACCAACATCACGGACTAAAAGAGTCAGTTGAGTGGGCAACCTTCTCAATCACTTCAAGGGTCTTCATACTACAAAGTTCACCATTGTATACATCCAGAAGAGAGAAGGTATTTGACTAACCTGACAGTCCGTGTCTCTGGATCTGAATCAACTGCCACATAATAAAATGATCCTTTCGCATTTGTTGCTTCTTTAACTTACATGACTGATTTTTAATGTCACAAGCATTGCCATTGCCACCTCTTGTTGCATCTCCTGTATACTGAACCTTTGGCTGGACAACTTAACTTTTATTCACGCTACGTCTTTCCACATCTAGTACATCACCATTCACTGGCGTTTATCTGCTATATTTCATTGGCTTTGTGAATCTACCATGTTGTCCCCCATTAATTCTTGGTTTGTCTGTCACTGTTCCATGCTGCCGTTCATGTTGACCAATCTCTTGGAGGTTGCGTCAAGGCTTCCCCTGCTGGCTCATTTGTTGTGTTTCCTCCTCGACCTGTCTGACTATTTGAATGGCCACATTCGGCCTGAGGTCTTTCGTGAGCTGCAGTTTCTATTAGACCTATCAATCATGAAATCCCACAAGTCTTTCCCTCTAAATTCACACTTTTTCGCAACCTCATATAATGCTTGTAGGAACTTCTCAGCTTTCTCATCTGGTCTCTGCGTCAGTTGGTTGAACTGGGCTCTCTTATGTTTGATGTCTTTTGTGGTACAAAGTATGTGTCAAAGTTTTTCAAGATGTCAAAGTAGCTTTCTCTATCTTGTAGTGAATGTGAACAGCCCTATATCACACAGCACACGTTACTGTGCTCACTCAGACTTCTTCGTCCTTCTCATTCAGCGTTGTTGCCATGCAGTAGCGCAGGAAATGCTACTTTCACATCAACCATCCCCCTGGCATGTCAAAGCTGAAGTACTCAGACGATTTCTACTCTCTTCACAGGTTTCTTCTCTGTTCTAACCATTTCTGACATCACATCAAATTACATGAGCCGTAATGTCCATGGTTTTCAAGGTTCGATTTATGAACTGAACAGAACATGAGGTGGGTTGCTAAAAGACAAGCAGAGCTTGCCCGATCCTCTTTGTTTATGCCATTCAGTCACCACGGTTACCCACACAGATCTATGACTGAAGCTATACGCCCTAACTTGCCTAAATCCTTGACAGCTTTTACATCAGATCTGCATGCATATGCAACACTACTCGTGAGATGGTAATCAGAGGAATCGAGTGTGTCAATATTTGTGTTCTTGCCGGAGTGTTCTTAGATTGAATGGGCTTAAACAAATGCAACAACATGTAATGTTGACGCAACATGTCATTTGCATAGTGATAATGGGTAACCAATTGCCCTTGATGGCCAATATGAAACATCTTGGATGGTTTTGAGATTGGCAGCTTTACAAAGGATTTGCTGTTAAACGCTACACCAAATAGATTGCAGCTGAGACAAAAACATCATTCTGAGCAGACAACTGAAAAAGACTTAGCATCAAGTCAACTTCCTGACATCTAACAAATGGTACATAAGAGGATTCAGCTGCTGTAGTGAAAGTATTGCTGTAACACAAGTCTGGCTCTGTTCAGGATGACAAAAACCCTCAAGAGTCGGCTGAACCTGCTCTGGGTTGATCAGAAGCCCCCCGAGACGACGTGCACACTCACGTGACAAGCTTGAGCTTATCACGATGATGAGGGTGGAGAGGGTCTTAGCTTAATGGGAGCACAAAGAGATGAGGGCAATACCTCAGGGAAGCCGCTTTACACGAAAATACACACAAGTAGGCACTGTAACACACTACATGTAATGAGGACATTTCTACAACTCTGCAGTGAAACCAACAGGTTTTTAAAACTGCAATTCCCCTTTTTAACTTGCAGTTGGTTGTGACATGATACCTTTCTGCAAATGCTATGTTTTCAACCTTCCTTCTTTGCTGCCTAACAGCTTGTCAATGTTTCTTTGTCAAGGAGGACAGCTGAAGTGTGAGGTTAGCCTGACACCTGTTGATCATGTCAAAATCCTTTTAGACCTAATCTTAAGACATCTTTCGCATACGCTTTATGAACTCCTGATGAGCACAATGTAGTGCAGCATGTGGTACAATATTCAATACCCTCCAATAAGGTAGTTTTTGCTTTACTATCAGTAACATTTCAAATGTAACAACAAGGCCAAGCTCTTCATGGCATATTTGAGGCCTAATTTCATCATAACTGCAATAGGTGCTTGTTTACTGTATTCAACCAATCCTCTATGGCTCTCTCTATGTTGTTCTTTTAAGCTTTCCATGATTCGTTATTGATTATTGATCATTAGCAGAGCCACTAATTGATGTAAGCAAATTAATCACTAGTAACCACCTGCATAATAAAGGAGACTATAAACTTCTACAAAATGCAAATTTGTGTCTTAATCTTTTCCAAAACAAAAGCCAGAGGCAGAGGAGAAAACGAAAAGGGGCAACAGCAGAATATGTAAGCGAAACCAAGACGTGGAGGAGAAAGCAAAGGTTTTTATCCTGAGGTACAAATGGGTAAGTAGATTCATGCCAGGAATAATTTCCCACTGCTGCTAAGAGATAAGACTGAACAAGTTGGATCACATTTTAGATTCACTTCCTTTGAGAATTTTACATCGCTCTTCCTGTTTTAGACTCTCGGTTCCATCAGGGATATAATTTCATGGTTAACAGATATCGTACTAAAGCGCACAACAAACTGCAAAAGCTATCCATTATTTAACGATAACATTCTGCACAACCGCCAGAGAAAGAATGAACGCCGTGACAAAGTACCACACAGTATCATATGTATGGTCTATATGTTATGGTCCCCTTTTACGATCAACACTCCATTACCCCAGGCAATGCAGTAAATATTTGAGGCTTTATTTTGGTAAATCAATGGTGCATGAAATAAAGTGCAGTCAAAGGCACATAGACCGACTGTGCAGGGCACTCTCACACAGTTTTAGTTATTTCATTGTCAAAAGAATGGGCATCAACTTTCATATATTTGGAAACAATAAGTCATATCTCATAGCATGGTACACTAAATTCAATTATCCTGGAAAAACAACATATTTGACCGCTGTGTTTTGCTGTTTTTGTTATTTTTTTCCCAATGTGGAGACAAAGGCTGTCGAGGAATGGTGATCAGTACAGGGAGACAAAAAATTAAAAGCAGAAAACAAACATGGTAACCCCTATCATACATGTACAATAATATACGGTATATTAAGAATAATATAGTAGCTTTTGTGTGATTTGTAATGCCTCCCAAAATTGTTTTGTTGAAGAACAAACAACTGAATATTACGACTATACATACAGGAGCCTATTCCTACATCACACCAGAAATCACAGTGATTTAGTGAAATGTTAGCTGCTATATTGTTACCTGATATTATAGCATCCTGACTCTTTAGTCTGGCTATGGGACTCCCTGCCAACGCTAATAAGACAATCTCTCTACCAGAGAGAATATCAAAAATATACAACAAAAAAAATCCCAAACTATCCCTTCAAAGGTACAGCTTGAGTCTGGATGGTGAGAAAGTAGCTGCAATGGTTATCGGAGAGATGCCAGGCCTGCAAGCTGTCTCTGGGTGACTGCCAGCCAGGGATACGCATAAACCGACAATACCCACACTGCCGTACTCACACACAGAACAAGCTCCCCAACACATACAGTATCTGCCTATCTCTGTTACCATGGAAACTGACAGGCCTCCCATTGACAAATCTTCAGATGCAGATGTGAGTGCGTGCGTGCGCGTTTGCGTGTGTGTGTGTGTGTGTGTGTGTGTGTTTGCGTGTGTGTGTGTCCATACGGTATGTGTGTGCATCACTGCTTCAGAGTGCTTGTGGAGGTGTGAATATGTGCATTTGCATTTCAGAGATTGCGGTGTGTGGAGATGAGTAAGAACGCATGTGCACCTATCATTCAGATACAGTATGCAGGCTAATATAAATGCATGCAACAATACACGCAAACTTTATTTTATCATATTTTGTCATCAGTGTAGCTGCTGGAGCATGAGTGAAATTTCAGCAGATATGGTATAAAATTGATACTTACTCTGACGAGTCTATAAAGTATATTCCAAGGGCCCCAATGCTGAGCGCAAAGACTAACACCACCTGGGGAGAGAAAAATAGAAATTACTTTCATGCACAGAGCAAAGGTCCTTCAACTACACTTATTAATGCAACTCCATAGTCAACAAAGCGCTGTATTCAGCTGGGGTGGACACAATAGGCAACACTACTTACAGCATCTGTAATTAAACTGTGTCCTGCCTCCTGCAGGTTGCAGAATGGTAGACATTTTTAAAAAGCATGCGCTGAATAATGAATGCTACGCTCTCACGTCAGCAAATACAAGCCTATTGAATACTGGCAGTGTAAAGTCAAGGCAGCACAATCGCAGGAAACAAAGAAAGGACACGCATTTCTATGTTCAACTAATGAGAAGAGCAGCAGTAATGTATGTTTGAGGTGTTGAGAGGAAGTACTTAAAGCGGACCACAGTTATCAAGTGTTGACGTGCACTCATCAACTGCTACACTAAGAGTCAGTGCTTGCATTGTGTGAAACTGACCTGCTGGACTGTGGTCTGTATAATGTTTCAGTGGTTGTCTGTGACCACTGAGGTAAAGTAACATAAGGGACCTTGCAGACATAGACGCAATACCTGAACTGAGCATTTAAAGAAGTTATTTTATCCCACTGAGTTTGTTAACACATCAAGATTTGAAGGACTGTACTGCCATATTTGACAATAGCACGACATAAGAATGTATTACTGTATTACCATATATATCATAATGTGTCACCGCATCACAGGAAAATTACAGAATTAAGAGAAAAAGAGCTTAATCACTTGTAAAAAATAATACTATAGATAGCAAAATATAACATTGACACACAGAAAATTGTATTCAAATTTGGTACGGGAAAACTGAGGATCTTTTGGATATTAGTCCTTAGGAGGAAATATACGCTTCCTTTATTCCACACCGTTGAGAAAAAAAATGTCAAAACGTGCCACAATGATCCCCTCCAGCAAAATGTGTGCGCGGACATTTGATTTCACATCACCATGATCGCCACAGCCATCATAATCATCGTCCTCGCAACAGCTGACCAATGTAGCGATGCATAATAGTTCCTTCCCCGTGATCCTTTCTCCCATTCAGCCATCTCACAATAGAAGCCCACTGTCCCTGCTGATTGCACCATTCATTATTGATGATGGGAGCTTGATTACTTTCATGTGATGGTTCTTTGTATTGATCCAATGCATTGTGGCTGAGGTATTAAGTAAACACCCCCATCCCATTGCATTTTTAATAGTTTGCTGCTTGAGTGGAGGACGATGGCAATCCTGGTTTCGGAGTTGTCTGGGGAAGGAATAACCTTACAAGCCAAAGACATCAATGATGCTCCTCACAAAGGAAACAAGGAGAGGGCTCAAGCTGAAACTCTATGATAACATCATGCTTCCTGAGCACAAGGCTCTCCACTGGTCTGATTAGAGAATGCAGTAGCTGACAAAAGGGCATGATGTGATACACATACTTCCGTATTGTGGGTTTTTCCCAAGAGGTTGTTGTAGTGTGCTTGTTGCAAGCTAGTATTTTGCAGGTGCAAATGAACACCAAAGCCAAACCCAGCAAATACACACAAGAGCAGCTGAAGGTGTGAGAGGATACAACTAATTTACACCCTAGTCTGTTTACTGGCCTCAGAAAGTACAAATACATATGTGAGAAAAGTTGTATAAAGTCTACGGTGTCTCCTCGGGGAGATGCTGCAAAGTCTAACAAACAAGCTCAAGGGATACGTGCTGCTTTTCCTCAGTTTCTCCTTATAATGAGAAAGTTTCTTTTAGCCTCTGACCCTCATGCAGCTTCTTGGCATGTTTTGCTCCTTTCACTGTTTAACTCACCATGGGCTCATTTTCCACTACGATCTAAAGTCCTGCACCTCTAGGGAAATGGCATAACCATAGATAGAAGTAGGGAGAACTCAAAATGTCTGCTGTGCAGTATAACACAGGTAGAATGCCATAAATCACAAAAAAGACAAAAACAAAAGTTTAATCTATACACTGGCTGCAGTTCAGCCCAATTCAGCTAAAAAATCCTTGACTTTTTGTCACATGACTATCGGTTGCAGCTGAGTTACTAATGTCTTCATGATTGCACCGAGACATGCATACTTACTTAGTTTTCTACAGAATCAGTTTGGTGCACTTTTATGCAAATGAGTCGTGTAAAATAAGATAATTTGGGTAAAATATAAAAATTTTAAGCTTGGAATGTTTTAATTTTCCTGATAGAACCACATGTCACAGATGAGTAGTTCAAGGACCATCAGAAAGTTAAACATCTGACAATTCTTTCAGTTTTTACAGGTTCTACAAATAAATGGTGCAATTTTGGCGATTGTTTTTAAAGAAAGCATGCCTTACAAACCTGCCGGCGGGTTTTAAGATTCAGAGGGTTAAAAAACCTGAAAAATGATTCTCCAGAAATGCAGTAGTTACTACATGTGGTTGTGCGAGTACTGACTCAGAATCTGGGTGCTGACTGTCAGGAGGTGGTGGTAGATGTGTGTATAAATAGATACGCCGTTGGTATGTTAACACTGCTGACCAGCACTGAGCCATTGTCTGGTTATTTGCAATATCTGATACCAAATCCAAACATAATGATTGCATTGTGGCAAATGCAGGCACAAGGTTTTGAAAGGGAAGAAGAATACATAGAATAAAACACACAGTACCTCTGGTTCCACCACATCTGTTCTGATGCTTAAATCTGTCATTTGTACATTGCAAGTCTGACAAAACTGCAGGAGTGGAATGCTAAATTGCTGGCACATTATTTTTTTTCACACAACCTGAGTGGACATCTGTACATCTCAGGAAAAGTGACAACAAATGAAGAACGTCTTCCTCTGTTAAACTCAACAGTGTCAAGACCACTAACATGGAAACGTACATTAATATGAAATTACATATACAGGACATATAAATGTACACAGATTCTTCCTTGGAGCAAGCTGGTGCGTCTACTTATGGGGTAAAGTAAAGAAAAGGGAGGAAAAGACGACTGGAGAAAGGGATAGAGAGAAGTGTGGTTGAGCAGTGATTGGTTGCTGAAAAGCTGAGCGGTTAACGGTGAACGCCCAGTGATGAGCTGAAGAGATGAGAAGCGTCATCATTTTAAACTGACCCAGTTATTCAACTGTAAGAGCCAGTCAACCCCTACACCCCCAACCCAGCCGCCCACCCCGTTTCCCTCTCTCACTGTCTCTCCACACAACATCTACGACCTCAAACCCACAATCTACGAAGGACAGCCAACCGAGCAACCGCCACTGCACATCAAGACCAATGTAATAAACACTCGGGGGGGGAAACCTACAAGAATGGTAACGGCAGAGGGGCTTTCCCTCTGCCTCCAAATGAAAGTCAGAAATTAAATAGGGAAAAAAAACGAGAGACTGCATCCGTAATGGTTGTAAATGACTTGACAGAGCTGTTTATGTGCACATTTCATGATTCACATGTGATGAGTCGCATTTGCTCCCAACTGGAATATACCGGCATCATGTCACAGGAGCAGCATGCGGACATGATGTCTGTGTTTTCTCTTTAATAGCTGTGTAGGTTTTCATTGGTGTATCCCTTTCTATATTTGAAGTGCGAAGCTAAATCTGTCGGATGTTTTCCGAGGTGCACTTTAGCAGGCACACTGGCAGACTGGAAGTGTAAACAGGGCAGCGACAAATTGTGTGTGTGAACTTCAATGTGTGTGGGTTTCAGGTTCCAGCACCGCAAGCGGGCTAAAGGTGGTAGCTCTCACATGACACCAACCGGATTGTAAACACATAATAACATTAACTTACACATATAAACACACGTGCTAGTGCGACGCTCACGGTCGATCTGACGGTAGGAGGAATTTCAGGAGCTCATCTTTGGCTTGTCTGTGGAAGTGCCCTAAATCTGAGCCAAAATTTCACACACGACTTCCTTCTCCAACAGGGATCCTGTCTAATGACTTCCTCTGTCCCTTAAGTGCAGCCTGTGACAAGGGGACAGCAGAGTCTCACGGGCAGGTGATGTGGGCTGACAAGGCGCAGGATAATCGCTTCACATTAAGGCCGAGCACCCAGGTCAAGAGACTCAAAGCCAACTGTCGCCTCCATATTTCTGCTCAAACTAATCAAAATGGACGACAGGGTTTCACATTTCCAAGTCGAGAGAAGGCTGAGGACGAAAACAAAATTGGAATTTAATTTGAGTAAACAGTTTGCAGATCATAAGCAGATGGGAATATCTTGTTCTTGGCTATTTTCTGTGAACAAAACACCTGAAAACTCAAGCACTTAATCATGTTGATGCAAAAACAATATTTTTGTTTGTGTTCCCTCAAGCCCTCTAGTGGTAGCATTAATTATGACTATCCTCCATCTGGAGCAAATGAGGAAGTCAGGTGATATTATTGAAGAGACGGGTAGAAGGAATCTGGAGTGGGACTTAACCAAATGGTTATCACTGTTACCATGACGACCCTAACACAGCAGTAATTTTGGGTAGAAATTAGGATCTTTCCCAAAACCTACCCAAGACCTACTCAAAAATTAACTAGAAAATTGTCACATGATAATTTTTATTTTATTTTTATTTTTTTTCAGCAGTGACTTGGAACATACTGACTAATAAATGAATTCCTTGCAGCGCCGTCAGATCAGAAAACTCTAATGTGGTGGAGAAGTAGCCAGAATGTGTCATTCTGGAAAGCATTTACAAGAAATTCTGTTTCAAATCCTTTCAACTCAAGTGCAGTTATTTATAGGAAAATGAAATAATATGCACCTTAGCATATGCTGCAGATTCTCTGACACAGATTCTCTCTGCACAGTAAAGAAATCCTAAAGAATTTATCCTCCGTCTCCACCTGTGTAACTTCCACCTCTCACACTAGTAAACACACTGCACCAAAAAAAAAAGCCTTCCTTGGCAAGCTGCTTTGTAGGTGAGATCTACAGATTTGTTCTATTAGTCACCTCAGCTACTGAGGAGAGAGCAGCTGTCAAAGTCTTGTGTTGCACCTCTGATCAATAAT